GTAAATAACTTAATGTATTTATATCCTTGAGTATTTTTAAATCTTATGTTTTAATGTAATGGTAGTAGGAACGTTACAAAATGTGAATAATGAGCGGGTTATCCAGACACTTCTAATGTTCATTTGTGTGAAATTTCTGCTCAAAGAAAATTTTTATAGAATTGAACATTCATCACTCCCCCAAATTTGTCAAGTAGATTTAAAAGTGTAAGTGTTGATGTGAATTTAAGTGTTTTCAAAACTTTCTTAAATTCGTTGAGCAAAATTAGATTCTCCAAGAGGATTCATAATAGTACCAGATTGCATAATTTGTATAGTATCCTATTTTTCATATTTTCAATCAAATTGAATATAAACTCTACTTCCAAATTGTAAATCAATTCATCAAATTCAATCTAAGTTCAAAACAACCAAACAAAACATTAACATTTTCAAACTCGTAGAAATTAATTACCAATTGAATTTCAAACTCAAACAATAACACACAATAAATATATATAACATATAATCCAATTTCGTGCAATTCAATGATGTGACTAGGCATAGCAATGGGACAGGGGCGGGTTTGCCTCCCCGATCCTCGCTCTTAACTTTTTTAACCATCCCCGTCCCCGCTGGGTTTCGGGTTTCTCGCCCCTACCCCGTCCCCACCCCGTCCCCAATTATTTTTAAAAGTATAATTACATTTATAATAAATTAATTTTATTATGTATTTTTATATATAAATAAATATTTATAATTTTATAATTATTATTTATTAAATATATATATATATATATATATATATATTTTAATTTATTATATTTATATTAAAATATGTATGTAAAAGAAAAATTTAATCATTCTTTATATATATATATATATATATATATATATATATATATAGAATATTTATGACATTATTATTATTATTATAATACTTTGAATACTTATAATATTATTATTATTATAATACTGTATTCAAACATTTGATTTCATATATAAGTTAATTCATATTTAAGTTGTCATTTAAAAATATGAAATATATAGTTTATAAGAAAATATTTAATAAGTTAATTCTTATTTAATTAGTTCAAAGTAATAAAAGTTTAAATTATCAATTCCTTTTAATATTTTAAAATACAATTGTTTTATTAAGATAAAATTTGATATATGATAAATAAGAATAATAAGATAAAAAATTATGACATAATAAAACCTAATAAATATAAATTATAAATAAAATAATATTAGTTATTAATAAGATTTATGTAAAATATTTAGAAAAATATAAAGAAAAAAAACTTTGTGTTCATCAAATTAGTTGAAAAGATTAAAAAATAAATAAATTGATGGGAGAGATGAAAATGTGAAAAACGAGAAAGGTAAGAGAGAACAATATAATAAAATAATTGATATAAAAGATTAAAAAAGATAAAAAAATTAAAAAGTGGGTAGAAAAAGGATAAAAATGGTGAAATATAAAAAAAATGACCTTATATGTAATAGAAATAGAAAAGAAAATATTTTTAAAATAATAATATTTTAAAATTTAAATTTAAATATAAAGTTGGAGCGGAGACGAGGACGAGGTCGGGGTGGGGATTGCATTACCCATTTCCGCCCCGCTCCCGACTTTTTAAAGTGGGGAAAACCCGAACCCGCCCCGGTCAACTCAGATTTTCCCTGTCAAACTCGGGATGGGGATGTGTTGATCCCCATGAGTAGGAGTGTCAATATGGGTTCTAACTCGTGAGCCAACCCGGCTCACCATGGGTTCGAGCCGGGTTGGGTTCAATTTTTTTATTTCTACCGATTATGGGCTAAAAATGAACCCGACTCACTTAACCCACGGGTTAAATGAGTTCGAGCCGAGTTATGGTAGGTTAGCCTGCAACCCACAATTAATTTTAAATTTTTAAAAATAATTATAATAACATACTAACCTTAATTAATCATTTATTTAAATTTTTAAAATAATTATAATACTTTAGTAACCCTAATTGATGTTATCATGTCTTACCTCTACCCTACATTGTTGGTTGTCGCCACAAGCCAAACCCTCACTTAAACTTGTTATCAGTTGTTTGTTGCACCATTACGCTTGTCGCTGCACTTTAGTCACTTGTCTTATTATCTGTCCACCGCACCACTACACCATGTCCATTGGATTGCTTTCAAAGGTAAGAATTTGTTTTATAACCTAAATCAATGTATTGCTTTCAAAGGTAAAAATTTGTTTCATAACCTAAACTATTAGATTGATGAATCTTTATTTGAAAATTGTAGCATCTATACATTATTTGATGTTTGTTATTGATTTATACGTATATTTCTTTAATATATGAATTTTTGACTTCTTTCTTTTAAATTAATTTACAGTATGGAATCTGAAACAACATCAAAGCGTGAATGTAAATTGTATTGGTGATGATTTTATTATTAATGAAAAATCCAATGAGTCAATTTCAATTAATAACGAAGATACTGATGTTGAAAAAGAAAGGAAGAAAACATAAGTTTCTACCTCCGAAGTTTTTATATAATTAAAAAAATTAAAAAAATATGGATTAGTGAGTCAACCCACCTAACCCACCAACCCGTGGTGGGTTGAGTCGGATTGTAAAATTTCTGGCTTGCCAAAAAGTGAGTCGGGTTGAGCTCACCTATTTTCAGCTCAACCCGTGGTAAGCCAACCCGTGTGAGCTAGGTTGTCTCACTTTGACACCCGGGCCATGAGTACAGGTTTAATTGTCATCCTTAGATGTGACAAAGACACCTTCATTGTCCATATCTTCTAGTTTAAGATATTATGAAAAAATTAAAAATAGGTAGTTGTTTTTACCTTAATCAAAGTGCTTCCAAGCTATAAAATTTTAGGAAGACAAATCTTGTTCATAGAAAACCTCAATTAACAGAAATATATCACAATACTTTTAAACTAATCACGATTCATATTTTCTCAACAAAGCAACAAAGTCTTTATACAAGCGTATCAAACCCACGTGCAATTATGTATAATTCCTAACCTCCAAAAATGCTCTAAAATTAAGAAACGAGAATTTATTTTATTTGAAATTTTGATTATAGAAATGATCTCTTCTCCTCCAAAAACAATAAGGCATGCATGAATATAGGAAAACATAAGAAAGTTTATATAAAAATTAGAAAAAAATAAATTATAGAGAGATAAAAACTTTTTGAAAATGAAGTTTAAAAGATTAAACTTTTTACTAGCTATATAATTTTTTTTAGATAAAATTTTAAACTTTACTCTAATAAAATACTTCTCTTAACTCATTTAAATTAAATTCTCACATCATATATATTAAATAAATATTTATAATAATATCATAATAAAAGCAAATATAAAATTAAAATATATAGCATTTTTTAATGATTATGTGTAAAATAATACTAACGTTTTAATTTATCAACATTATAAAATCCTTTTCCCAAAACACTAGATATTGATGAACATATATTTGAATTATAAATTTTACCACAAATTCTTTCATGGATTTTAACAAACATATAAATTGATTAGAAAAAAATATTATATATCATGGAGGATAAGAAATATAAGTTGTAGGTTCGTTTAAATCTTATGTATGTCAATTCTTTTCTTTTTCTTTTTAATCATTAAATTAAAAAGTAATTTATTTTTCTTTTTAATCATTAAATTAAAAGTAATAATTTATTAATGTGAATAATTTGATTATAAACTTATTGGCTCGTTCTTTTATATATATATATATATATATATATATATATATATATATATATATATATATATATATATATATATTTTTTTTTTCTACATCTTTTTATATTATACTATTTTTATCTATTGGTAAATAATCTCATTTATTTCATATTTTAATATTTTTATTTTTTTAAAACTTATTATTGATATTATTTAATTAAAGTTCTCTATAATAATATAAATATTTATATATTTGTTAATGATTTATTTTTTATTTTATTTTAGCCGATGTTATAAAATTCACGACAACAAAATATTTCTGAGATTGATTCTTTTAGTTATGTAAGTTTTGATATATTTATTTCCATAATAACATTAAACTGATTTTATAGGTCATAAAAGAAAAAAATTGCACTGAATTTGACTAATCATGACAACAAAATTCAATAAAACTTTTACTTTTTTAAAAGAATTATATTACAATTTTATTAAAGAGTACAAAAGTAGGGTCATCATAACATATATATATATATAAAACTTAAAATTACAGAATTATATAAAATCAGAAATAATATTATATTTAACTGAGACGACGATAAATATAATTGTTGTTAGAAATAATATATTGATCTATCTTTAATCAAACTTTCAAATTAATTAATATAATGTTCTAAGTGATTATTATAATGTAATTCAATTTTTTCAATTTATTAAGTGATTGTATAATTATAAACATACTTTATTTGTGTACCATTAACAAATTTTCGTTTTTAAATATGATGTTTTCACTTTTTAATTATTAGATATCAACATGTTATTATTTTAATTTTTCGTTTATTAATTATTTATTATTTAATTAGTATTTAAAAAATAACCATTTTTGAAAAGTTTTACTCCATAATTTTTTTTATGATATAAGATAACTTATATTTTTCGTAATTTAAATAATTAAATTAATAGAAGGAGTATCAACAAAATATAATAAGGAGACATCTAAAATATTTAGATAAAAATAAAAATAAGTAATTAATTTTATTTTGATTAAATCATTATTCCCACAATTACAAGATCAAGTAAATGCCAAATACAAAAAAATTAGAAAATCTGCAAACTACAATCATTAAGACATCCACCTCATAACTCTGTAATTTTGTCCCCCACGATGCACGTAAACAAAATCAAGGTAAGGAATGATCTTGCAAAGGATATTTTCCACATGCTTGGAATACCATATCCTCCATCTCTTCAAGAAAATAAGGGGGAATATGAAAATTCCAAAGCCAAAAGTAAACCCCAACTCTACACTTAAGAAGTTTCATTCAATTGAACCCTTTGCATCATAATCAAGTGTTTCAGATGGTGGTGATGGAAACATTTTTTGTCCTTCACCATCACATTTTTGGGATAGTGGAGGTCCACATAACCCTTCATTGCCTACAAATGAATCAGCCTCAAATGTTTGAATTTGTGTTCCAGTGGGTATTTTTCCCACCAAATGGTTATAAGAGAGATTCATGACAGCAAGAAATGATAACTTTGCAAGCTCTATTGGAATCTCTCCTCCTAAAGAGTTGTTTGATAAGTCTAAGGACTCAAGGTGCTTTAGATTGCCCAAGGAAGAAGGGATGCTACCTGAGAAAGCATTTTGTGACAAGTTAAGAGCATGTAGTGCTATGAGATTCATAAGCTCTTTTGGTATTGGCCCTTCAAAATTGTTGGATGAGAAATCCAAGGAAGTGAAGGCAATGAGGATTTTAACCAAATTTAATTGTCTACCTTTGTTGACTATTGTAACTGAATCCTCATAAGTTCTTACACCAACACCCTCCTCAAAGATATGAGAGACTATGTGGTCTATTATAAAGGGTGGCTCTGATGCTATAATTTTGGCTAGCTTCAATTGTAGCTCACTGTTCATATCTACAATTGCAGTTATGAAATTCACAGGATTAAAGTCATCATAGAGATTAAAATATAAATGACCAAATCTTTCACCTTTATCTTCATCAAGCATCAAAGCTTTCCAACTCAGTAAGAGTGATGTTGGTAATGTACCACTGAAATTGTTATAGGCTAAATCAACAATTTGAAGTGTCTTCCAATCGCCAATGTTATTAGAACATCCAATACGTCCATGCAAATTGTTTGATCTTAAAATCATGACTTTGAGGGAGGAAATGCTCTTCAAGAAGCATGGAAATCTGTCAATTAGTTTATTGTTTCCAAGGTTTAGAACTTGTAGTTTCTTACAATTAGCCAGAGATTTCGGGATGTTTCCCCTTACAAGATTCCCACTAAGATCCAAAAACCTTAGAGAACATGAAGTTGAGAATGTATCTGAAATATAGCCACTGAGCTTATTTCCGCCAAGATTTAGTAGCCTGAGAGTGCTACTTCTTCTTGTCAAACACATTGGAATGAGGCCAGTGAATCTGTTGTGGGAAAGATCAAGTGCTCGAAGATCAGAAACGTTACAAAAGGATTCATGGATTATTCCATGAAAACTGTTGTTTGAAAGGGAGAGAAAGTATAAGAAAGGAATGTGACTACCAATGTCAACAAAGTTAATAGAGCTAAATCTATTGCTTGAGTAGTCCAAATAAATGGCATTTTTCAAAAAGGTAGGAGCAAGCCCTTGGAGACGGTTTGAGTGAAGATCAAGTTTCAACAAATTTGAACTAAGGTTTTGGAAAGGCCCTTCAAAATCTGTCAAGAAGTTGTAAGACATATTCAAAATAATCATATTGTCAAATTTCCAAATCCAGCTGGGTATAGTTCCTTCAATATGATTGTCAGACAAGTCTAGGTAGAGTAATGAAGATTTATTTCTCAAAAAGTTTGGGAATGCTCTCAAATTGCATGAAGCCAACCAAAGAGTTTTCAGACTGGGAAAGGATGATGCATCTGCAGTGCTTGCATCAACTAACAAGTTATTGTGTGCAAGATCAAGTGAAGACAAATTTTGCAGCCTCCCAATCATGTCAAGTTGTATAGTGCCATTGAACTTGTTTTTAGAAAGTTGAAGCAAACGAAGTCTTTTGAGTTGAAAGATAGACATAGGAATAGGTCCTTCAAATTTGTTTCCACTCAAATCAAGCATCTCTAATAATGACAAAGAAGCATTTGGAAATTCGTCCAACACACCATCAAATTTGTTGTAATAGAGCATGAGATGTTGAAGAGATTGAAGTCTTAATAAAGATGACGAGACCCTTCCATCAAAGGAGTTATCTCCTAAATCAATGCTCATGAGATTTATAAGGCCCTCAAAATGGGTAGATGGAATTGTACCCATAAAATGATTATGATTAAATGATAAAACTACCAGGGCCTTGGACCTATTAAAAGATGGGATAGGACCAGTGAAGTTATTGTATGACAAGTCCAAATGAACAAGTTGTGTGAGATTTGACATTGAATAAGGAAGTGTCCCTCTGAACTGGCAATTTGATAAATCTAATTTAGACAATTGCTTCAAATTGTCAATAGACTCCGGCAAAGGTCCAAAAAAATTTGTGTGGCTAAGGTTGAAGTTGTAGAGAGAGCCTTGACTTGGGAAGTTTGGTAGAGAACCATGAAGACCTGGATTATCAGACACATCAAGCACCTGTAGTGATGGTATTTGGAAGATATTTTTTGGAAAGACTCCACTCAAACCACAACCACTGAGTTGCAAGGTGGTCAAATTAAACAAACTCCCCAAGGACTCTGGAACTGGACATGCTAAATTGTTCTGGTCCAATCGAAGTATTAAGAGAGATTGTAGCTTTCCTAATGAAGAATCAAAAGGACCAGAGAGATTACAAGATGACATGCTTAAAACTTGCATGTTGGTAAGTGAAGATAAAGCATGACTCCACACCTTTCCTTTGGCTGATATTGCAATGCCATCCAAATGTAACTCTTTGATTTTTGTCAAGTTCTGCACAAGCATTGCAATATTTGGTTGCTCAAGTTTTAGTACATGTTTTGAAGTAACTGTGCTAGACAAATCAAGAGTTACTAACTTCGTGAGGTACGAGATCTCAATTGGAATTTGCCCCTCAAAGCCAGCATTTGACAAATTCAAATGCCTCAAATTCTTTAGCTTTCGAAACTCTGGAGAAACCTTAGAATGAAAATCATTAAGGGCCAAATTCAAACTTTGTAAATATTGTAACTTGAAGAGACTACTTAAATGATCAATACCTCTAGAGATGGATTCTTGGCTCAAGTCAAGAGCAATAACATGGCCTTTGTTACATGTCACTCCACTCCATTCACAACAATCAGCACTCTGATTCCAGTAAATCAATTTTTTGGACTTGGTAGGATTGAATATGAGGTTATTCCTCAAATTGAGTAAATAAGATTGTTGATGACCAAGACAATGACTAGTTACAAAAATTATGTTGGTGCTCAAGTTTAAGAGGCAAAAGGGTAGCAGAAAGAGCCACAAGGTAATACTCATTGGGTATGATTAGGAGACTCAACCTTAAGACAATTAACAAAGTTTAAAGTTGAAGGTTGTTTTCTTTGCCTTTGAGAACATGATCCCTCCCTTTTATACATCCTCATGATCAAACAAATTTTAACTTATGTGTTACTTTCCTTGGAAGTCCAAAATATACGTTAGTTGCTTTGATGACTAAATTAGTTAGTTCATGGTCCAATAAAGTTGAAGATATCTGTGGCAAAGAAATGCGGACAATTTTGTGGTCCAAATTTGATATTATTGAAAATAAACTTAGTGGGGAGAAAACTTTTTCACGTGAGACAATCTCAAAATGAATAAAATTGTTATCAGGAGTAAAACTAATTATCACGTTATTGTTATTGTTATTATTATTATTATTATTATTATTATTATTATTATTATTATTATCTAAAATCCCACACTTCATTAAATAATGTAAACTTTGAAATGTTACTTGAAAATTCTCAATATTCAGGTATTGACCAACAAAATCTTGAACTACCAAACATTAACTTAGTTACCTTTATGTTTACGATTCAGAATTTTATTAGTCAACACTAAAATCAAAGTATTATATTCTTTGTTTGACTTTTTTTTTTTTTTAATTCTGAGAAATGTGAAAATGGAAATAAATATTTCTTCATTGATAGCTGGCCATGTAAATAAATATATTTCTAGGAAAAAATGACTCCTTCGCATTTTAGATTGTTTCTATTGTCTCCAATAATTATTCTTATTACATTCTTCTCTCTTCCTGTAAAAATAAAAAATAAAATAAAATAAATTTAATTTTTAAAAAATTATTAAATAGAAACCATACATATTTTTGGTTTTACTTATTTAGTCAGGGTCGAATTAAGTTTGTGGGTTGAATAATTATATTTTAAAAAAAATTGACTTATTAAATTTTTTTTATAAAGTCATCACTTGTCAATCCAAATAGACGTGTATTTTTCTAAGTATAGAGCATGAAAAACTACTACTTTCAATGAACCAAATTATACGTCATGGACTCCTATAAACAAAACTGGATTCACACTATTTTAAAGGTTTTGACATTGGCAAGTATTGGATGGAATCAGAATTTTGAATAACTTCACCACATTTTAAACTTGTCCATCTTTCACGGTGGAGAAAACTAAAAAAATCTGAATCCACTTTTTTATATTTAAATTTATATATAAAACTAATAATATTTCCAGTAAAATATAAACTAAAAAAAAAAATATTCAGTAAAATAAAAATTACGTATTTAATTTCTATATAAGTATGATTTTCTTTTGTAATCTTCCAAAAAAGAACACTATTTTAGTCATGAAATTTTTAAAAGTGATCCCTATTATTATATAGTCAAGACCAAAACAACAAGTAGTAAAGAAAAATAATTTTTAGGTGCATAACATATTCAGGAAGTTGTACATAGAATCAATGTTTTCGTGTGAACAAAAGAAATATACAGAATTCAATACACACAAAAATAGTTTATTATAAAAATAAATAGATTAGATAAATAAAAGTAATTTTGACTTAATTGAAAAATTATTAACATGTATATACTAAAATAATTAATTAAAAAATATTTAAATAAAAATATTTTTAAAATTTAAATTATATTAATGAAATTAGTTTTATATAAGATATAATAATTTAATATATAAATTATAAGATAATGAATAAATTCAATTCTAAAATAGGAGTTAAAATATTACTCTTTATTATATATGTTTTAGTAATTTATCAATTTAAAATAGTTATTAATCTTAACCATAAGATATTGGATTAAGTCGTTATTAGTAGGCCTGAACAATTTTTTAAATAAAATGGGTTGGATTTAATCGGGTAAAAATAAATAGATTTCAACGAATAAAAACGATCGGATATGATTGTGATATTTTAAAATTAGAAGTATTTGATTTGACCGATGTATATTTGCTCTAATTCTCGTATAATTTATAATTTTGTTCCTTCAAATTTAATGATCATTTAATATATTTATTTATACATTTACAATTTTATCCTCTCACATTTTCATCTTCTTTCACCATTTTATATTTATTTATTATTTATTAATAATATATTATTTTGCCCCCCAAAATCAATGGTCAAGATCTGCCACTGCTAAGAATAAAAGAAAAAAATATAAGGAAATCCTACACGTGCATCGTTTCTTACCTTCTAGACATTTCTTTCTCTTAAGCTATCACTTTCAACAATGCATTGTTTCTTACTTTTCCAAAGAGCTCCTTCTCTTAAGCACTCACTTTCAGCAACTTTATAATTATTCAGATTGGGGTTAATCTTTATTATCTTTGATATTTTGTGTTTTAGGTTAAATTTTCTTCATGTTACTCGTTCTCTTTCGATCCAAATTGTATTATTTACATTTCTCTTTCCTGTTTCTTCTAGTACGCATGCTTTTTTGATGAATCTCTTTAATTGAAGACAAACAACTAATTTATACTCAGATCGAAGTTAGTCTTTTTTTATCTTGATTTTCTATGTTTTAGTTTAACTTTTCTTCATCTTTATTTTGTGTGTTCTAGGTTAACTTTTCTTCATCTTCTTCATTTTCTCTTAGATCTATATTTTTTATCTTGATTTTCTGTGTATTCCAGGTTAACTTTTCTTCATCTTCTTCATTTCTCTATATTAAGAGTGTATTATTTACATTTGTCTATTATACTTCTTTGGTATTTATGTATATGTTTTTATAAATATGTTTTTTTTATTGTGTTATTAAGATCCTAGGGAGAAAGATAAAATATTTATTATTATTAGTTTTTACTCGTGTGATTTCATGTATTGTTGTTAATGCAAATAAATGTAAGTCATATAAGTGGTAATTCAACTTGTTCTTGTCCTTTATATTTATGTGGTCACTAGTACAAAATAGGCTTTTAACATTGGTATTCATAACACATCTCTAATTACCCTATCTATTGATCTAGAGTTTCCTAGAATTTGAATTATTATCAGATTAAGAGAATTGTCACCTGGCAAGATTCGAACCCAGGTACCTTAGAGTCGGAGGTCGATACTCCAACCACTAAGCTACCAGGATTTTCCGATAATAACTTATACATAAATTATATTTATATACAACTAAAAATGTATATCCATGTAAATATATAAATATAAAATATATAAATACAAATACAAATATATTTATATATTTATATATTGGATGTGAGGACGCGCTCGAGGATGAAAGTGTGTGTCGAGTGAATTTTTAAAATTTGATGTCAAATTTGTGAGCGGGTCTCTTTATATGGATTATAACTTAATGACAAAATATAATCTTTATAATTTATTTATATAATGATATAAAATAATTTTTTTCTTTATTTTATATCATTATATAAATTAATTATAAAGATTATATTTTATATTATTATAAATAAATTATAAAGATTATATTACGTCATTAAATTACAAATTCATATAAAGAAACTTGCTCACAAATTTGACATCAAATTTTGAAAACCCACTTGACACACACTTTTACTCTCGAGCGCGCTCTCACATCCAACATATAAATATATTTGTATTTATATTTATATATTTTATATTTATATATTTACATGGATATACATTTTTATTTGTATATAAATATAATTTATGTATAAGTTATTATCGGAAAATCTTGGTAGCTTAGTGGTTGGAGTATTAGCCTCCGACTTCAAGGTATTGGGTTTGAATCCTGCCAATAACAATTCTCTTAATTTTATAAAAAGACTTTCTACATCGGTTCATCTGGGAACCGATGTAGAAAGTGTTTTCTACATTGGTTCATCTCGGGAACCGATGTTGAAAGTCTTGAATTCACTTTCTACATCGGTTCTTAAAGAACCGATGTGGAAAACCCGATGTTAAAAGTGATTTACGTACTAGTGGGTTTACTCGTTAGATTGTGACTCAAAATAGGTTTTTCTTTCATTTTCAAAATCCTTAATCTTCTTAATAATTATAAACTAAAATTAGGATAATGTCTATGAATTTTACAATTTTTTATATCTAGTTTTAAATTTCTATCTATACCAATTCAGAATGGTCTTAAATTTTGTAAAAGATTTAGAAAAAAGATTGTTTAGTATTTGATAAATTAATTGTAAAATTATTGTTAATATGTACTCTAATGGTTTATGTGTATTAATATGCTTATATTATTCTATTAAAATATTACATTGAAGGTTTATGATTTATGTGTATTAATATGCTTATATTATTCTATTAAAATATTATATTTCATGTTTTTGATTTTTACGTAGATGGATGTTAGGAATTTGATGTATGATAAGGGGCGAAACCACAAATTTTAAATGAAGGGACTAACATATAAACTAAATATATTATATAAAATCATTAAAAATTATAAATCATTCACATATATTTAAGATTAATATATATATATATATATATATATATATATATATATATATATATATATACGTGGAAGTCAAGTACTTTTTAATTATGTTCGTTGATATTTCACATTATAAAAATAATCAATTATCACATTTGAATCAAATTTTGCAGCAATCTCCTTTTTAATATAAATAATCATGTAATCGGTAAGAAAATCATTTTCCATCTTATTCTGAAGCCATGTTTTAAAAATCTTCATAGTTGAAAAATGCATATTTTATTGTTGTTGTAGAGATATGAAGAGTTAAAATAAGTCGAATCAATCTATCAATCAAAAGATATATATATATATATATATATATATATATATATATATATATATATATATGACTTTTCAATTTTCATCAATTTCTTACACAACTTTGCAATAATAGACAAATTTTCGAGTTTTAGGCACATCAAATTCATAACGTTGTAATTCATATGTTAATCGAATCTTTCTCACCGCTCGGAAAGATATGATGAATAGAATTTCTCAACTAGCTTGCAAATGTTAGAAGCATTAAATTTTTTGTAATCATCTTTAGGATCCAAAGTGGTGCTCAATATGAGAAGCTCAATTATGTGCTCATTGTATCTATTATTCAACTCTTTCAACTAATAATCTATAATAGTAGTAAATATATCAATACGATGATGATGCTTAATTGTGACAACTTCTTTTTGACAACGAGATTGAATTATATAAGAAAAAGAAACATTCAATTTATTGTTTACCACACAAAATGTTAACTTTCTTAAGAAACGTTTCTCAACCACAATCTGTTAACTTTTGAATTAATGATTTTGTACTAAAAACTAAATACATAGCATTCAAAATATCTTGAGATTTTTATTGTAATACTTGACAAAGCTTTTTAGTAATTTCCATAATTTCTCTCATCACATGTAAAATGAACACAAAATCAAATGACATCAAAGATTTAAGAGAATAAGTAGCATGATCTCTTTGAGAGTATGTAGATCCATTAATAGCCAAATCTTCAAAAATTGAATTTGTTGCTCTAATAAGGATACATATTGAATTAAAATGAGAACTCCATCTTGTGTCTCAAGGCCTTTGCAATGTGCCAATTTGATTAGTTTCCCCCTTATCTCAATCTCATTTATTTCAATTAAATAAGTTATTTCATTTGCATAAGCATCTTGTAACTCATCATTGCATTTACAAGAAGAACACACAATATTTACAATATTAGTCAAGTTTTGGAAAAAAACAAGAACATCTACAACTTCTTTAGCTATAACAACAAGAACTAATTTAATTGATGAGAAAATTAATGTATATAATATGCATAAAAACATTCTTGAAGAATTAGATCTTGTAATCTCTTCCACTCTCCACGCATATTACTAGCTATATATCATATCCTTGATTACAAATATTTTCAATATTGAGATTATGATGAGACAATATTAAACAAATTTCTTGTTTAAGGGTGACTGCAATGTACTACATCTATTAGACGCTCTTTAATAAATCCTTCTTTATTAACAAATATAAGAACAAGAGTCATTTGTTCTCTTTGAGATTCATCTTGAGCCTCATTAACAATCAAACAAAATTTTCCATCATCAATCTCATTATGAATTTCACTTTAAACATTTCTAGCAAAAAAATGTATAATTTCTTTTTAAATAGCGGGTGATGTGTATCTTGCATTTTGAGCGGCATTCTCCAAAACAACTATATCCACTTCTTTATTATAAGAAGCAAAAAGTTTCAACATTTCAAAAAAGTTGGTTTGATTCTTAGATTTCAAACTTTCATCATAACCTCTAAAAGCACAAGATTGAAATGTTAACCACTTAATAACATCAATAGAAACTTTAAAACATAATTGATTGGTTAAAACTTGTTATGAAGTTTGCTTAAATAACACTTTCTCAATATGACATGATTGACTCCTTAAATCTTTACCATATTTAACAACAATATTGTAAGGAGAATTTAAAGATTTTATAATATGAGATAAAAATGCACATTCCATTATTCACTTTTTTCCAGTTTCTAAATCCTCCCATAGTGAATGGAGTAGAGTTCCTAGAAAATAAATAGCATGGAAGATAAAATGCAATATCTACTTGTGGTGAATACTTTAACCAAGAAATGTTTTTGAACCAATTAGCTTGAAATCGACGAGGATAATTGTCTAAACCTGAAAGTGGATACTCATCCATAAAAAATTGATAAGGCCCAAACTACATGTACGCTCTATGAATTTTATCTTGTTAATTGATAGGATAATTTCAAATTTGTAAATACTTGCTAGGATCACGTATCAAAGTATCAATATTAATTTTTTCATTTTCAATTCTCATCATTATGGAAGAAGATTGTTGAATAGATTGATCAATTAAAGGTTGCTCGCAACATTTTCAATATTCTTTGTTGAATTTAAATCTGGTAAACTAAAGTTTATTTTATTATTTATCCTGTTTTCTCTTAAAAAATGAATCTATAATTTTCTTTTTAGAAATATCGAAAGTTTAATCTAAAACTTTTTTTTCACATTTTAGCATCAAAATAAAGCATCATAAAACGTTAAAACAACTAACTAATTTATAAAACAAACAAATAAATTTACTTATTGGTTTCTACTTCAAGAAAAATATTATAGAATATTTCCTTTATTTTATAATTTCTTGTGTTTCTTCATGTAAAAATGTCTCCAACTTAAACAGATGATAAAAAAAAAATTATAATTTTTATACTATAAAGGCAAAACTCTAAAAGCAAATTTTGAAAAACTAAAGAGAAAACTTACCATTTTTACGTTAAGTGGGGAAATCAGAAAAAATGGTAAGAAAAAAAAATAGAATTTTGAAGTCTTTGATTTGAGTAAAGAAAAAGTCATGAGATAGCATGAGAGAGAAAAAAATGATAAAGATAAAAGTGGAAGATAAAAAAAATTATTAATACTTAAAAAATAATTTTTATTTAATCTCTTTCTATCTATCTATCTATCTATCTATCTATCTATCTATCTATCTATATATATAGATATATATATATATAAATAAATAAATTGGGGGAGGGGGTCATGGCCACTTACCACCCCATTTAACTACTAAAAACATTTGGGGTCAAACAACAAAGAAAACTTATTTCATTCTAAATTAAAATGACTTAAACTTAATTTATTTCCTATTAGGATTTAAAGAATTGTCATGATACTAATTTAAAAATATAAACTAAAATATATATTATTTTTTTTATACAAATTAGAATACATACAATCTATCTATAAGATATAAATAGGTGAAATTATTTATAATCTTAAAAAACTATAATATTTAACAACTATACAAATCTAACCAGATAAATGATAACATTTGACGCAGAGAATAGAATGAAATAGAATCTCAAATGCTTTTATTTTAAGATTTTTTTTATAGTTATTTCTTCTTATTTTCAAGACAGGGTGCTAATGTTTCTTCTTGCATTTAAATAGTGAAGTATTATAATTCTTTCCATTAGTAAAATTGTGATATTACTTATTCTCATTTTTATTTTTAACTATGAATTCTTATGTTATTTCCTAAACACCTATTTCTATATTATAAGTTCAAACATAATTTTTTTATCTATAAAAATTAAATATACCTGCGAAAATTTATAACAACCCATAAAGTTCTTCAATTTCAAAGATTGACTCAAGCATAAAAAAATAAATATATAGTTGTTAATTGATTTACAAATTTCTTAGCACCACACTACTCATTTGTATGAATAATGTGCGATGCACTTGGCATGTGAATGAATGAGTGAGGAATGCCTTAAATTTGACTCAAAGAAATGTTTGAGATCATCACCATGTAATGATCACAACATTGTAAGCCCAAAAGTAACAGCAGGTCTCAAAATATCAGAGAGCCGATATTTTTATTACTTTTTTTTCATCAAGATATTTCTTTTAGCTCACTCCATCAAAAACTAATGTTATAGCTAATTCCACGAGTCTTTGCACATACCATAAATGATTCAAAGTAGTTTCCATATCCAAAATCTGGATCAGAGTTTCGAAACAGCATGAAGCATACTTAATAAATGTGTATACACCTTTCTAACAATGTAGACCATATGTACCGTTGCTACATTTATAATGATGTGAATATGTTTTACGGCGTTGAATAAAGACTAAGGAAAACCCCTTATATCTGTAGCACTTAAAATTCTTACACCAATGAGCGCATATCATGAATAAGCACATTACAAGGCTTACCTAGCACTAAGGTGGTGGTCCCAAACAGAGTCTTTGGTTCATGCTTATCTGACACGTACTAATTCCCTTGTTTAGAATGCTAGATAGAACTGTTTATGATAATAGTAAACAGTTGTAGCATGCGAACGTGCTGATAAAAAGTATGGTCAACCCACTGAGAAATCTCCTAACCACATTTCAGACCCACTATCCTTCTGGATCTGAAAAGATTACCGTGACTCCACTAAATTGAACTAAATGGGCAAGCCATAATGCCATCATATGAACTCCTATTTTAGCTTCAACACTGAATAAAGGATCAGTTTGAAGCAGACTAGAATTAGCATGATCTTAGGTGTGCAAATACCTCAATATTCTATAATTAAGAAATGATGTTATAATTATAAATGTCAATTTGAAATTAAAAAGGTTCTCTAAAGAGGATAAATCATGATACAATTAAAATTGGAAATAACTATCATGGTCAATGATATAAGATGGCATAGAGTGCAGAAAGATATTTATACCATTTAATGTACAATGGCACATGATTGGACCTGTTGCCCATCACAATAAGTATATGAGTACTTTTTATCATTCAACATAAATGGTGCAGTCGTGAAGTAGAAGATAAGAATGCAAAAGGTAGACTCATTGCCATTGCTGAACTGCAATGCAATGAACACAAAATTGTAAAGCCTTTTAACTTTTTTCAGGCTTGGCTTCTTCTTGTGTATTAAAGATTCAGGGTTAGCAGCTATTGGCATCCTTCACCTCCCATATCTTTTTCTCTAGGGCTCTTGTGCTAAATAGAGATAGGTTTGGACCTCTACCTCCCTTCTCTATACCACTGTTTATTGATAGCCTCTAGTTTTTTAAGTAAACACTAATTACCTATGTATCATTTACTTGAGTAGTATTGTTTACAATATTTTTGCATAGTATATTTATAAGTATGATTGACACAAATAGGGAAATTTTTCCTTTAAGTTTTACATGTTTCTAGAGTAGGAATATATTACATAAAGAAATATTAATTTGCCTTGCTAAGAATATGTCTCTGTAAAAATGAAACAAAAAAATATGTAATAAGGAAAAAGAGTTCATAGAAGTTTGAATATGGTATACTATTTTTATTTTGTTTGATCAAATATTATAAGAAGTGTTTATTCTTTTTGTCGTCTTTGTCACTTTTGTGTAGGCAACATGATCTTCAGGGCACTCCTATTATTCCTGGCCTTTATGGTGACAAATTCAGTAGCTGTCATTGAGAAGCATACATACATAATACACATGGACAAGACCAAGATCGAAGCCTCAGTCCATTCTCAAGACAACACAAAACCTTGGTTCAAATCAGTCATTGATTTCATCTCTGAAGCTTCATTTGAAGAACAAGAAGAAGAAGAGATAGCGCCTCAACTCCTTTATGTTTATGAAACCAGCCTGTTTGGTTTTGCTGCTCAACTTTCAAATAAGCAGATTGAGTACTTGAACCAAGTGGATGGCTTTCTTGCAGCCATACCTGATGAACTACTAACGCTTCACACAACATACAGCCCCCATTTTCTTGGCCTGCAGGAGGGAAAAGGACTTTGGAGTGCTTCTAACTTGGCCTCGGATGTGATCATTGGAGTCCTTGATACAGGAATATGGCCTGAACACATCAGTTTCCAAGACACAGGTTTGTCCAAAGTACCCTCTCGCTGGAAAGGAGCTTGTGAAGCAGGCACCAACTTCTCTGCCTCAAGTTGTAACAAGAAGCTTGTTGGTGCAAGAGTCTTTCTACGTGGGTACGAAAAATCTGAAGGAAGAATCAATGAAACATTGGACTATCGTTCTGCTAGAGATGCTCAAGGACATGGATCACACACGGCCTCAACTGCAGCAGGAAACATGGTGAGTAATGCCAGCTTTGTCGGCTTGGCCCGTGGTTCAGCCACTGGAATGAGATATACCTCAAGAATAGCTGCTTATAAAGTATGCTGGCGTTTTGGTTGTGCTAACTCTGACATATTAGCAGCTATTGATAAAGCTGTTGCTGATGGTGTAGACGTATTGTCACTCTCATTAGGTGGCATTGCGAGACCTTATTACAATGATAGCATTGCCATAGCCTCATTTGGAGCAACACAAAAAGGAGTGTTTGTTTCTTGCTCAGCAGGTAATTCAGGCCCTTCTAGTTCCACTGTTGGAAATGTTGCCCCATGGATCATGACTGTTGCTGCTAGCTACACTGACAGGAGCTTCCCAACTCAAGTGAAGCTTGGAAATGGAAAGGTTTTCAAAGGGTCATCATTGTACAAGGGTAAGCAAACAAACCAATTGCCTCTTGTATATGGAAATTCCTCAAAAACACAAAGGACACCACAGTATTGTACTCAAGGTTCACTTGATCCAAAGTTTGTCAAAGGAAAAATAGTTGCCTGCGAACGTGGATTAAACAGTAGAACTGCAAAGGGAGAAGAAGTTAAGATGGCAGGTGGAGCAGGAATAATACTACTCAACTCACAAAACCACGGAGAAGAACTTTTTGCAGACCCACATGTTTTGCCAGGCACATCTTTAGGGGCCTCAGCAAGTAAAACAATTAGAAGCTACATTCACTCAGAAAAAGCACCAACAGCTTCAATTTCCTTCCTAGGGACAACATATGGAGACCCTGCACCAGTTATGGCAGCATTTTCTTCTCGAGGACCAAGTGCAGTGGGAGGAGATGTGATCAAGCCAGATGTTACTGCACCTGGTGTGAACATCTTGGCTGCTTGGCCTCCCATAACTAGCCCAAGCTTGCTCGAGACTGACAAAAGAAGTGTTCTATTTAACATGGTCTCAGGTACCTCAATGTCATGTCCTCATGTTAGTGGCATAGCTGCATTGATCAAATCAGTGCATAAGGATTGGTCACCTGCAGCTATCAAATCTGCTTTGATGACTACTGCTTCCACAACAAACAACAAAGGTGCTGCAATTGCTGACTATGGTTCAAGTAATTCATTATTTGCTGACCCCTTCGCCTTTGGTTCAGGACATGTTAACCCTGAAAGTGCTTCTGATCCAGGGTTAGTCTATGACATCACCACTAAAGATTACTTAAATTACTTGTGCAGCCTGAAATACACATCCTCCCAGATTGCTCTATTGTCAAAAAGTAATTTTAAATGTGCCAAAAAATCAACTCTTCAGGCTGGTGACTTGAACTACCCCTCATTTGCTGTGCTATTTAGCACAAGTGCTCTAAATGCTAGTGTGACATACAAGAGGGTATTTACAAATGTAGGGATGCCAAAAAATTCTTATGCAGTGAAAGTGGAAGAACCAAAGGGAGTATCTGTCACGGTTGAACCAAGGAATATTAGTTTCAGAAAAACTGGTGAGAAATTGAGTTATAAGGTGAGTTTTGTTTCAAATGGGAAAACAGCAGTTACTGGAAGTTCATCATTTGGATCACTTACTTGGGTATCAGGTAAATATGCCGTTAGAAGTCCTATAGCAGTGACATGGCAATGATAGGAAAGGTCTTTGTAATTGCAGTATTTGAGAGAAGCAGAAGAATATTTTTTAAGCTCATAGCTAGCAGAGGAACTTTATTTGATGAATTATGAGGCATCACACTATATCTGTAACTTTGTTACCATCTTTAAACTTCATTGAATAAAAGAACACTTATTGTGAAAATATTTCTCATACTTCAACAATATCATATAAAATTGGTTTTGCTTAATAATGAAAATTTCTGTTTGAGATATTTATAGATAGATAAAACAACTGCAAACTTAAGAACACTGGTCACTAAAGCACCAATATTATATTAGTATATAAAATTCACTTCATTAACACGTTATATGTGATGCTTTTGGATTAAAACATATTTTTAGTTCTTAATTTTAGGGTTATACTTTTATCATCCAACATCAAATCTCGGTTAATTATGTTATAAATCTTTTCTTACGGGACACTTATGAGTCTCACCCTATAATTTGTGATTTGTGTCTCTTATTATTTCTGGTCAGGCTCTATTTGCACATATGCCTTTGCACGCTACTTTCCATACCTCCATGGCATTTTTATTTCTTTTTATTTATTCCAACTACTCTGTAAATATGATAACTCTGTTTAGTATTATAAAAATTACTCATTTAATTAGTAACTCATTTATTAATAATAATTTTATCGTACCTAACCTAATAATGGTGAGAGAGATAATATTGAATCAAAATATGAAGAATTTAAGAAAATAAACATAATTTTTTTAAGGTTTGAAACTATTTTGAAAATATGAGTTTAATTGAAGTGGTAGAGTAATGTTAATGCAAAGTTGCAAAAAAATTAAAAGAATTTTAGGAACCAATAACATATATCTAAATATAATGCTTTTTATAATACATGTAGAGTTATATTGGACAGGAATATTAGGAAATTTAACTTTAGAGGGATGTATTTGGTAGATATATAATTAAATATGATATTTCATTTAATTTAAGTTGAGTTTACCAGATAAATAAAATTTTGAATCTTAATTTTTAAATAAATTATTAATTATAAGGAGGATTAAAGAGTGTGTTTTGTAAGAACTTACCTAAGTAAAGTAATTAGTTGCATGTGTTTTGTGATCTTTAATTAGAAAAATCAATTTCTTAGTGATATAGATATTTTTTTTGGTGTTTTAATGAATATTTACTTACTTTAATTACCCATATTATGAATATAAAAAATAATAGTGAAATTGGTTTAAAAAATAAATAATATATTATATTTTTAGGCAAATTCTTAATTTGGCTTAATATAAGATTAAATTAAGTCAAAAATTATAATCTATTTTTAAATATCATTAAAATATTTTACTTGTTTATAGGATCAAGGTAGAAAGGATTAACTTTCTAGTCCAAATTAGAAAAATAAAATTTGATAAAATATAATAAAATATATAAAATATATCTTTTCATATAATAATTATGATAATAATTTATGTGTAGTATAATTGAAGTTTTTGATGACACTCGAAATAGAAGGGAAACAATTTAAGGTTAGGTTTTGGAAGGTGGTTTGATTGGAAATAGAAAACAGAAAAATATAAGACAAAGCATAGACGCCATAAATAAGAATATTTGATAAGTCAAGAAGGATCGCCACAAGAATTGGAGAATTCTTGATAAGATCAAAAGATGTAAGGAAGAACCCTACCAAAGCAACAACTCATAAATTGATTCTGAATAATACGTACCTTGATTCTGAATTTCCAAAATGTTTAATACAACTTAAGTTTATGATTTTGTCTCATTGCAGGAAATAAAGATGAATTAAAATCATAATATCCTAAACAAAGTTAAGTTGCCTTGATGGTCCATTGGAGGCATTATAAACTTTTGGTCTTAGGTTCAAATCCCCCATTGTAGCAAATAAAATAATAATAATAACTAAATATTTAAGTTGGGTCTCCTAGCTCTCCAAGCATTTTATGTATGTGATAGGTCCAAACTCCTCCTCCACGTTTAAAGCCTTTAGCAAATTGGTCACTTTGTGTTGCTTTTCTGAGTCTGCCTCTTGTCATAGGTTTAAATCCCCACTGTAGCAAATAAATTAATAATAATAACTAAATATTTTAGTTGGGCCTCCTAGTTCTCCAAGCATTTTATGCATGCGATAGGTCCAGACTCCTCCTCCACGTTTAAAGCCTTTAATCGTTGGGTTTTTAGCAAATTGGTCACTTTGTGTTACAACGCCTCTTGTGCTTTTCTGAATCTGCCTCTTGTCATAGGTTCACCTAAGACTTGGATTGGATCTTGGTCTTGATCTTTCTCGTCATGGACTTAGGCTTTTATGTCCACATCATTTCCTCCTTCTTAGGCAGCATTTGACCTCAAATCTATGAATTCATCTCCTGAGTCAAGTCATCAACATTAAAAGAAGAACTTACATTATACTCTCCTGGTAGATCAATCTTGTAAGCATTATCATTGATTTTCTCTAAGACTTGGAATGACCCATCTCCTCTATCTCCTGAGTCAAGTCAGCAACATTAAAAGAAGAACTTACATTATACTTTTCTGGTATATCAATCTTGTAAGCATTATCATTGATCTTCTCTAAGACTTGGAATGACTCATCTCCTCTAGGTTGAAGTTTAGAATTCTTTCTTCAGGAACTTTTCCTTTCTCATGTGTACCCAAACCCAATCACTAGGTTGAAACACCATCTTTTTCCTACCCTTGTTAGCTTGCCTTGCGTAGCTCTCATTCTTATTTTCAATTTGAGCTTTTACTTGCTCGTGCAGCTTCTTCACATATTCTAATTTAGTTTGTGCTTCCTTATGCTTAAACATAGAAATGTTAGGCAAAGACAACAAATCAAGAGGAGTCAAAGGATTAAATCCATACACAATCTCAAATGGTGAATAATTAGTGGTGCTATGGATAACCCTATTATAAGCAAACTCAACATGCGGTAAATATGTTTCCCAAGTTTTAATATTTTTCTTTAAAATAGTCCTAAGCAATGTGTCTAAAGTCCTGTTGACTACCTTAGTTTGACCATCAGTTTTTGGGTGACAAGTAGTAGAAAACAATAATTTAGTACCAATCTTACCCCACAAGGTCCTCCAAAAGTTACTAAGGATTTTTGAATCCCTACCACTCACAATGCTCCTCGGCAGCCAATGTAGCCTTACTACTTCCTTGAAAAACAAATAAGACACATGACAAACATCATCTACCTTCTTGCAAGGTATGAAGTGTGCCATCTTAGAAAACCTATCAACAACAACAAACACAGAATCCTTTCCATTCTTTGTTTTAGGCAGCCCAAAATAAAGTCCATAGAAATGTCAGTTCAAGGATATTTAGGAACAGTTAAAGGAGTATACAACCCATGAGGCTTAACCTTAGATTTAACCTTTTTACACACAATGCAGTGATCACAAAACTTATTCACATCATGTTTCATATGAGGCTAAAAGAAATGCTCTTGCAAAATTTCTAAAGTCTTTTAAACCTCAAAATGACCCATCAAACCTCCCTCATGTGATTCACTCACAAGCAACTCTCTAATGGAATACTTAGGCACACACAATTTATTTGCTTTAAATAAGAATATATTATGCCTAAAGTAACCATTTTTAGAAAGTCTTTCACATGCAGCAAAAGTTTCAGCAAAATCCACATCATTCATATACATGTATTTCAAAGATTCAAGACCAAACAATTTAGTTTCAAGCATAGAAAGTAATGCATGTCTCCTAGAAAGTGCATCAACTATTACATTACCTTTTCCCTTTTTATGCTTGATGACATATGGAAATTGTTCCAAGAACTCAACCCATTTGACATGCCTCTTGTTTAACTTATCTTGTCCCTTTAAGTATTTCAGAGATTCATGATCACAATGAATTACAAACTCTTTTGGTAAAAGGTAATGCTGCCAAGTTTTTAAAGCACGCACTAAGGCATATAATTCCTTATCATAGGCAGGATAGTTTAGGGCAGTCCTATTCAACTTCTCACTAAAATAAGCAATTTGATGACCTTCTTGTAGCAAAACAACCCTAATACCCACATTAGATGCATCACATTCAACTTCAAAAGATTTTGCAAAATTTGGTAATGCAAAATGCGGGCATTAGATAGTTTGTGCTTAAGTTTAGAAAATGTCTTTTCTTGTTTTTTACCCCATTTAAACCCAACATGTTTTTTTACTATTTCATTAAGAGGTGCAGCCAAAGTACTAAAGTCTTTAACAAACCTCCTATAGAAACTAGCTAACCCATGAAAGCTTCTCACTTCACTCACATTCTTAAGGGTATGCCACTCTTGGATAGCTCTAACATTTTCCTCATCAACTTGTAACCTTTTAGAACTCACAACAAATCCCAAGAACACAACATGATCAGTGTAAAAGACATATTTTTGAATATTAGCAAACAATTTTTCCTCTCTAAGCACATTCATGACAACACTCAAATGTTCAACATGCAAATCAAAATTAGTGCTATATATCATAATATCATCAAAATACACCATTACACATTTGCCTAAAAACTCTTTCAAGACATGGTTCATCAATCTCATAAAAGTGTTTGGGACATTAGTTAACCCAAAGGGCATAACCAGTCACTCATACAAACCATACTTAGTTTTAAAGACAGTTTTCCATTCATCCCCTTCCCTTATCCTTATTTGATGGTACCCACTTTTCAAGTCAATTTTAGAAAAAATACAAGCATCATGTAATTCATCCAGTAAGTCATCTAACCTAGGAATAGGATATCTATACTTAACCGTGATGTTGTTAATGGCACTACAATCAACGCACATCCTCCATGTTCCATCCTTCTTAGGGACTAGAATGACTGGAACTGTACATGGGCTCATGCTCTCTTGTACCCATCCTTTGCTCATCAATTCTTCAACTTGCCTTTGGATTTCTTTGGTCTCTTGGGGATTACTTCTATATGTTGGACGATTGGGCAATGACACTCCTAGAATGAGATCAATATGGTGTTCAATTCCCCTCAA